GCTCCAACCGTAATGCAAATCCCTTGAATAAAGAGACCAAGACTTTAACTTTTTCTGTATCCCCAGTGCCTGAAACAGCCCTCTCTGTGTAGTAGGGCCTCATAGATTGTATAACCAGTCAGTGATAATGGTGACTTGGGTGTTACCTGTGCTTTATATCAGAGCCTGCATGATTTGCTTTTCCATAAAGCAGCACTGTTCCACACTTGTTCTTAACTAGATGAATTGTGTTGCTACTTTTGAAGTGTATGTGCTCTGGCAGGATTTCTCGAACCTTTCATGTGTCTGTCTTCTATTTGCTCTTCTCTCTGTTTTTATTATTCAGCGCCACTGGGACGCTTTAGTTATTAAAACTTGTGTCTTTCAAGCACTTCTTCCTTTTACCACCTCCTGTAATCACAGGAGTGCCTAGACTCCGAAGGCTCCCAAGAATTAAAAAGACACAAACTAGCATTCAGAGGGGCTAACAGGACTCATTTAGAGTCAGACCTTAGCAATTTACTCATAAATTTCTTCCTGAATTTCTCCTGGTCTTCTTTGATCTCCCGACTGTCCTAGTGTAACATTCTCAAGTTCTCATATCTTCATCCCCAAAAGATTTCACACAGTCCCTTCTGGTCATCATTTTAATCATTTTGATTTTAAGTCTTTGTGACTTCCCTGATGATATCCAGTTTTGTGTCTGCTAAGATAATCCGAGCTAGAAATTCTCAGTAATCCTTATCTAGTCCTGTGTTCAGATTTTATTCACAACATGATGCTTGCAATTCCTTTGCAACAATTGTTCATTGGCTTAACTTTTTTTTGCCTTGGTCTCTGAGCTTTTAAGATAATCTTTTTCTTGGACTGCAATTTTTATCTTTGATCTCAACACCAGTATCTGATCTGGGTTTTCTAATATTGGGGCAACCTCCAAAGCGTCTTTGATAATCTGCTAGAATGGATATTATTTGGCTCAGTCGAATTCTGCCTAGACTTTATCGGATCTTATTAGCGCAATTACTTATGACAATTATATTCTGAATGTAGCTGATTTCTGCAAAGGTAACACCTGCATTCCTCATCCGTTGTTGGCTTTTCCCAACTTTATAATTTTGAGGCTCAAAGTGTTTGTCTAACATTTTAAAGGGCCCCTCTCCACCACACTGGGTCAAGGCTCCAGGTGAAATTCTCATAGCTCCTATGTTTTCCCTCCTTAGCCCTTATGACAAATAAAACGACATGATTATTAGTGTAATCGTTTGCTTAATGTCTATATACCCACTAGGCTTTTATGAGATGATAAGCTTTCTTTTCTTCTTCCTAGACAGGGATAAGAAACCATCAAAGGATAGTAAGTTAATTCATCAAATTATCTCAAATTTAAGGCTCTCCTCCGTAAAGTTTTACTGAAGCAGTTGAGTGGAAGCACAGCGTTTTGATTAAGGGTGTAGGCTGGGAAACCAGACTTCATATCTGAGTCCTAGTTTTGTCACTATTTGACACAGTGGATTGAAGGTTACATGACCTCTCTATGCCTATCCTTCCTCATCTATAATATGGGAATAATAATATTAATCTCTAGGGATTAAGTGAGTTCATATATGTAAAGCACTTAGTTGGCATTTAGCAATTACTCATAAATATGAATGTGGTTGTGTTTTAATTGTTATTATTATGTTAATACTAATGGTGCCTTCTATTGTCTATCTTCTCTCTTCATTTCAAGGTGTTCTGTAAAAATTACAGTGTTCTGTGGCCGGGCGCGGTGGCTCAAGCCTGTAATCCCAGCACTTTGGGAGGCCGAGATGGGCGGATCACGAGGTCAGGAGATCGAAACCATCCTGGCTAACCCGGTGAAACCCCGTCTCTACTAAAAAATACAAAAAACTAGCCGGGCGTGGTGGCGGGCGCCTGTAGTCCCAGCTACTCGGGAGGCTGAGGCAGGAGAATGGCGTAAACCCGGGAGGTGGAGCTTGCAGTGAGCTGAGATCCGGCCACTGCACTCCAGCCTGGGCGGCAGAGCGAGACTCTGTCTCAAAAAAAAAAAAATAAATAAAAAACAAAAAATTACAGTGTTCCACAAAAAATCACCATGAGTTTGAAGTGTTGCCATCTCAATTTGTCTGAGAAGCACTGTTTGTCCTTGCACAAAAGGGGTGTAAGTATGTACAGGGGAAGGGGACGCACATTCTTTGCCTTGCCCAAGGTCCACACTCCTAGAAAGGCATTCTTTCCAAAATATAGGCAACAGAAGGTGCACCTGGCCTCTTCTTTCCATTCTGAATGAGGTTAGGTGCTGGCTCCAGACTAGGGGAACAACTCAGTTGCACACAGAAGAGTTTGAGGTAAGTAAGAGTTAATAATAACACCAACGCAAAGATATCATGAAGTTGAAGCTGGAGTCAGCACCCTCTTTCCAACTTAAGCTCTTTACCCCTTTGGTTCTCCCTCCAGGACAGCCTATCCTGGATGCCCTCTCAAAAAAGGCACTCTTGAGTATCATCATGTCACTCCTCTACTTTCTCCTTCCTCTCACCCAAGGTGGCAAGGATCCAGTGGTATCACAAAAGACCCTGCTCTCCAGAACAATCATATCCCACTGTCTTTGCCCACCTCACTTAATTCCCTGGTTGGAGAAACCTGAGGTCTTCCTGCCTGCTCCAACACACACACACACACACACACGCACGCACGCATGCACACACGCACACACGCACCCCATTCTCACTCTCTCTCTCCCATTTTTAGAGTCTCACCAGGGCCAGGTTCTCTATGCCTTATGATAAGTTCCTGAGCAACTATTTCATACTTTTGGAGAAAGAAGAGTATTAATGGTTAATTTTAGGGGCTTTGGATCCAGGAAGACCTGAGTTGGAATGCCACTTTAGACACAAATTTTGTAACTGGGCAATTGCTTACCATCTTTGGGCCTCTTTCTTCTCCTTTGAAAATAGGGATGTCAATCCTATTTCAGAGGGTCATTGGAATAATTAAACAAGATATGCGTACAGCACTTAGAACAGGCCTGGTTTACAGTAAACAATGAATAAATGGAAGTGATTATTGATGTTTTTGTACTAATCAGAAGAGTTTAGAGTAAATAGTTCCTCCCCTCACCTCCTCTCCCTCTGTCTAATTCTGTCTTCTCTGCCTGATAAAATAACTTGTTTTATGGATACAATGCCTTGTAATTCGATGCCCAGAATCCCAAAGTAGGGATTCTATTAGTAAAGGTCCAGCCTAGTGAGCAGTTTGGTGAACTAGCATGAGCAAAAACTGAGCAACAAGAGGTCTAGACTCTAATTCCTGCTCTGGGGCTTACAAGCCAGGCAATTTGGGGCAAGTCATTAGCCCCTGAAGGCTATTAATTTCTTCTGTAAAAAGAATTGGGATAAGATGGACTTGTAGTTTCATTCTGATTTTTATATTTTATCGTTCTATATGAAAAGGTTTTTCTCTGAATGAATTCTTTCATTAATACTTAAAAAACCTCGACTGATGTATTTTTTCTTCTGAGACCTCTTATTGCGTAGCTTTATCTTGACTCACATTTTTTTTTTCACACGCAAAAGTGGTAGTTGAAGGTGGACTGTGGAGTTGGTCATTTCTAGGTCTGGACTTCAGTACCACCACTTGGCTTTTGACGTCTCTGAGTTATTTAACTTCTCTGAGGCTCAGTGGTCTCATCTGTCTAATGAGGATAGACAGAGGGTAGATGTGAAGATGAAAGGAGGCAGAATTCTTAGACCATATGACCTCGAAGGCTATAGTTTGATTGCCCTGCGGGACTTTAACCAGTTTTGTCTACAACTTGGCAAACTTATTTCAGAATGTCTTTTCTCATGGACTCTGAATACCTAATTACTATCTTCCTGATTTCTTCATTAATTATTGAGTCGAATAGAAACTTTCACATGTGCTTCATTATATTTTTTATATAAGAATGCTGTTTTTAACTTTTTGAAAATTATTCTTTGACTGCCTTCAGACACTCTCCTCAGTAGACCGACATTGGTGAAACTCACTAGAAATGCTGATTAAGTTACTGAAAAAAAGAAAAACGATCGAGATTTGCATTTTTACACTTTCTGCCTGATTCTTCCCTATGTCACTTAGCCAAAGCCAAGCCCTACAAGGGTTAAGGTGGGGAAAATTCCCTTGAAGGAATCTCTACTTATTGGAAAAAGAAATAAGCAAAAAGCAAGATGAGCCTGGCAGAAAGAGATACTTTGCTTATGGCCTTTACGTTTATGACTAGCAAGATAATGAAGGAAGGTAATTCTGAAAGCTTTATGTCAGTTTTAACGGCCCCTCAAGCACTGAGAAAGATAATAGTCAATGAATGGTGTCCATAAGGATTTTTTCTCCTTCTCCCCTGACAGCCATTGACAGGATCATTTTGTATTTGCAACTGCTGTCACTGAAGCGTGCAGAAAAGGCCCTGTAAGGCCAGGAGGATGAGGGTTACTTCCCTGCAAGGATCTCTATTGTCATCACTATGGCAATAATAGTTACTATAATTTTCATTCTGCTTTTCTATAGAGTGTCGACTTTGTGGAGCTTAAGGCTATGGGATTCGGGTCACATAAAATCACACTAGCATAAAATCACGCTTTGTTATCTTGCAAGAGTATTTTTTTAACTGCAAAGAAAGCCTATGCAACAATATTAAAATAATTGCCAATGCAGGTCACTTGACTAATATAATTATTTATGGGATGCTAATAGCTTTTCAGACGCTTTCAGATAGTGTCAATTTGACAGCAGTTCTTTCTCTCTCTGTTTGGATTGTTAGACCACTGCCAGTTTTTCTCCCCAAGGAAAAGGCTTATCGTGGGGGGGGGGGGGTGGGGAATGTAAATTAATTGGAAGTCAGCTCTCAGGCGTCGTCCGGTAGTTTCTCTTTATTATCTGCAATTAAATCATAAGGACAGGAACCATGCCTTCTATTTCACTTGTATGCACCCTCATCTCCTAGCATCGCGCTCTGCATAAATTTCAACGGTACTAGCTTTCCTACAGTCAGCTTTAGAGACATTAGACACTTCCAAAGTACGACTCTGCGGAAAGAGCCCTTTGAGAATGAAGCGGGAACGTGGAGCACCTGCGATCCCAGCGTGGGATGACAAAACTCTAAGAGGGGTCTCAGGGTAGGGAGGAAACAGCGGGAGACAAAGAAACGGTGTATAGCGAAAAGAGGTGAAAACAAGAAAGAGAAGCGAACAGAACGGACCAAAGAGAGAAAAATAACAGAAGAGGCTGAGAAAAAGAAAAGTGAAGTGGAGCTCCCAATGCCCCGCCTGCAGAAAGCGAGCTCGCGCGGAGGAGACTACAGGCCCCAGAATCCCCTGCGGTTCCCCTTGCCGGGGGTCAGTCTCCTAGGCAACCCCGCTAAACAAGATGGCGACCCCCAAGAGGGCTCTCCTGAGGACCAGAGCTTCCTCTCTCCTGAGAGGCTTGGGCAGATCCCGAACTGGAGCCCGATCGTTACAGTTTCGTTCAGAAAAAGAGCGTCAGCCTTGCTGGCCTTCTTTTCCCATGGGGCAGAAGACGAAAGGCAGGTCTAACATAGCCTCCTCCCACCTGCTCCAGCAGCTCATGCACCCCGATCAGGAGCTGGACGTGGACGGAGACGAAGACCAGAGCGAGGGCGAGGCGGGATCCGAGGAGTCCTCAGAGTCCGAAATGCTGAATTTGGAGGTGTGTCTTCCCCCCACCCCTCACTCCCTGGCTTCCTCGTCCAGCCGTCAGGCCCTGCTACTTCAGCGGCAGCTCCCTGATGCACCCCCACCAGCCCGAAGCTTCCCACACCTTGTCAGGCTCTCTCGCCTCCAGGAACGCCTCTTCCCCCACTTTTCTTCCCCTGTCTGTTACCCCATTTTCTCACCCCCTGCCTGAAATAGCTCTAAATATCTCCTTTCTTTTTTCATTAACACATTTGATTTCTTATGAGTCAAGTTAACACAGCGTCACTTTGAAAGAGTGTCTAGATAATTGTCTGGGAATTATGGCTTTAGCTTTTTCAAAATTATACTTTGACAGTCTTGTGAATAGGCAGAGTTCATCTCTGACATTGCCAGCACCTGTTGCCCATGGCTATGACATACTTCCACACTCTTCCTCAGTTTTAGTCCCGTCAGCCTCTCTCCAGGGAAAATAATAATAATAATAATAATAATCCTCTTTTGAAAGTGCTTCTTCAAAGACTAAGTGACTTAAAATTTGAATACATTACTTCTGTCTGGGGCATATGCCTTATACAAGCAACATGCACACACACCAGAAAAGATCCCTAGAATGTTCAAAGAGTCAGCTCATTGTGGGAGTATTTTAGGATGTGGGGAATGTTCCCATCATCCCGCCTCTATTGACTGGGGTGGCGGCTTCACGTTTCACGTAACTGCTGATTGGATTCCCTCCTTTCTACAATACCTCTTCTGACCACCGCACAATTCCTCTTCTTTCTTACGCTTATTGTCGTCCTTTTCCTTTCTTAGTCCACTGCTGTCTTCTTGTCCTTTTTCACTTCTCATCACATCCCTTTTTTCTCTTGGCTTCCAATAAATTACTTTCTTTCAAAAGCGTAATTTAATTTGCTTCCTTTCTATTTTATTTATTTGTTTTTTGAGATGGAGTCTCATTCTGTCACCAGGCTGGAGTGCAGTGTCGTGATCTCCGCTCATTGCAAGCTCCACCTCCTGGGTTCAAGCGATTCTCCTGCATCAGCCCCCTGAGTAGCTGGGACTACAGGTGCGTGCCACCACGACCAGCTAATTTTTTTTTTTTTTTTTTTTTTTTTTTTTAGTAGAGATGGGGTTTCACCGTGTTAGCCAGGATGGTCTCAATCTCCTGACCTCGCGATCCGCCCACCTTGGCCTCCCAAAGTGCTGGGATTACAGGCATGAGCCACCGCACCCGGCCTAATTTGCTTCCTTTCAATACACTGTTAGGTTCTTCTCTTTGTGTTGGCTGCCAGGAAACTTAGATTCAATAGTTTTTCTTAATTTCAAAGTTTTATTTAGGTTTTCTCTCCCCTTTCCTTTTCCTTGACAGTATAAATTGCATGAAATTCTTTTCAGAAGTAAATACAATGTAGAGAATTAGAATATTTTCTTTTCTTCTTTCTTTTTCTTTCTCTTTCTTTCTTCTCCTTCCTTCCTTCCTTCCACCCTCCCTCCCTACCTCCCTTTCTCCCTTCTTGCCTTCCTGCTTTCCCCTCCTTCCCTCTTTTCCTTCCTTCCTTCCTTTTTTTCCTTCCTCCCTCCCTCTCTCTCTTTCTTTCTTTTTTCCTACCTTCCTCTCTCCCTTCCTTCCTGCCTTCCCCTGTCTCCCTCTTTCTCTTCCTTCCTTCCCCTCCCTCCCTCTCTCTTTCTTTCTTTCTTCTTTCCTTCCTTCCTTCCTCCCTTCCTTCCTTCCTGTCTTCCCCTCCCTCCCTCTTTTCCTTCCTTCCTTCTTTCCTTCCTCTCTCTTTCTTTCTCTCTCTTTCTTTTCCTTCCTTCTCTTTCTTTTTTCTTCCTTTCTCTTTCTTTCTTTCCTTCTTTCTTTCTTCCCTCCCTCCCTTCCTCCCTCCCTCCCCTCCACTCTCTCCTTCCTGCCTTTCTTCCCCCCTCCCCTCTCCTTCCCTCTCTTCCCGCCCCACCTCCCCTCCCCTCCCGTCCTCTCCTTTCCTCTCCTCTTCTCTCCTCTTCTCTTTCTTTCACATGGTCTTACTCTGTCACCCAGACTGGAATACAGTGGTGCAGTCATGACTCACTGCGGTCTCAACCTCCTAGGCTCAAGTAATCCTCCTGCCTCAGCCTCCTGAGTAGCAGGGACTACAGGTGTACATCAGAGCGCCTGGCTAATTCTTGTATTTTTTGTAGAGACAGAGGTCTCGCCATATTGCCCAGGCTGGTCGTAATCTCCTGGGCTCAAGCAATCTGGCCACCTCAGCCTCCCTAAGTGCTGGTGTTACAGGCATGAGCCACTGTGCCCAGCCTAGGATATTTTCAGTGCTCTCATTCTGTGATATTCTTCTGGTTTCCCCTCTTTGCATCTTTGCATCTATTCATAGTCACCTTTTCTCTTTGAGGCCAAACATATTTCTGTGTTATGCCTGTTCGCTTTCACAAACTCCTTTCCTCATTTGTCCTATTTCTCCTTATTCTCCCCTTTCTAACCTGCAGTGTCTTCTGTTACTCTGATTCTTCTATTAACCACTTGGGTTCCCCTTCCTTTGTAATGTCCTTCTGTTCACTTTCAACATTTGGCCTATTTTGTTTTGTTTTGTTTTTCCCATCCTCATCCTCCATTTTGTCTTTCCTCTTTTTTACTTCCTTCTACGTGAGCTAGTTCCCATTAGTTATGCTTAAAGTTGACCGTAGAAAGCTATTAATTATTCTGTTCATTATTACTTCTTTTGTCTTTTGTTGATTTACTTTCTATCTTTAACAGTGACTACTGCAAAACTCTAGCAGTGTTTTTGCAACTTTGAGATGTTTGTATGGTTTCCACCAGCTTCCCCCCCAAGAGGAATTCACAAATGAACCACCAGTATATTTTGTTATTCTAATTAACACATAGCTCTTCGGCTGTGGGGTTCATTAGCACCATTGTTAATCTGTCTTCAGTATGCCATTAACAAACCATAGAAGGGGTTGACATGAACTAGCTATTCCTTTTTGGCTTGTAAGACACGTGTGGAACAGGTTCATTATTTCTTCCATTTGTGTTTTTATTCTATTTTGGCTTTTCATAGTATTGCATACATCTTAATATGCTAAATAAACTGAAACAAAGTTTTAAAAAGAAACATTTGGAAATTCATGTTCAGTGATTTATTATTCCCATCTTAGCGTGTTATTCCCAGCTTAGCACCTTTGCAATGCTATGATGGTCACAATGATTATTGAGTGCCTTCAATACAATATGCCTTAAACCTCGGAAACCCTTATGAAGTAAGGGAGGCAGTATGGACCACCTGTTCAAAACACTGCCGTTGGAATCAAAGATTTGTGTTTGAGGCTTGATTTAGCCTTTTGTTAGTTGTGAGATCTTGAGCAAGTTACTTAACCTCTCTCATTGTTAATGTGGGAATTATAATAATACTCAAACAATTGTGAGAATTAAATGAGATCGATCCTATATGTTAAACACTTATCATAATATATTTTGATACAGTTAATAATACAAATAGTAACTTACATGTTTTTATCTGCTAACTACAGCCCATTAAGTGATTTGATTAATTTAGCCTTCATTGAACAAGCATTTACTGAATGATTGCTATGCAGAAAGCACTCTTTGACTGTACAGAGCAGAAGTGTCTGGGCCCAAAAATTGATGCATGAAAAGCACTTCTTTTCAGAACCTTAATATGTGTAATAATACCTACTCCTGGGATAGTTATGAACATCAAATTTAATAAGAAACTCTATATTTAAAGTTCTTACTATAGTGTCTCATACAGAATAGACTCTCAAAAAATTATGGCTGCAATAAATAATAACAGTAATGGTAGAAAAAGATGAGAACATGATTGAAGACATGCATGGTCCCTGCTCTCAAAGCAACATAAGAATGTGAGTAAATAATAGCAATTCAGCATACCTGTAGTATGTCATACAGAGATGAGTACAGCTGACACCTGGATTGCAGGGACATTGAAGACGCCAGGGGAAGGAGACTCTTGCCTGGGTGGAGAGGTGGTGTGTGGGCAGGCAGGTGGCAGCTTTTCCTAGTGATGAGTTACAGGTGAGAACAGAAGCAGCCTCCTAGGTAGGGGTGAGATTGTGGAGGGCACTGTGATACTGTAGGAACATGGACTTGGGTCTCTACACAGTAGTGAACTGCTCTGTTGGCCAGGTGGTATTAGATTGGAGGATGGTAATACTGGAGGCAAGGAGATCAGTGAGAAGATTCTAGCAAAATCCAGGGGGGAGTGAGAAGAGCTTGGATTAAGGCAGTGGCAATGGGAATGGAAAGGAAACTAAAGATAAAACATATTCAAAGTATTTAAGATGGTTCAGTTACAAACTAAATATTAGAAGTCTAGGATGACTGTTAGGCCTATGGCATGGTCTGGGGTAATATTAAGGCTGTTGTCTATCACAGGAATCAGGGACAGATGGAGCTATGTGTTAAGGAGTTGGATATATGAACCATATGACTGGGAATCAGGGCAGGGATCTCAGAGTAGGAGACATGGGAATCATTACCACTAGATTCTGGGAAATCATCCCGGAAGGAATAGGAGGGAAAAGACCACAAATAGAACCATAAAGGTACAGATACGAAGGATATTTAAGCGGTAGGCAGATGAAGAAGCAGGGAAGAAAACTGGGAAGGACTGGTAGAAGTAGGAGGAGAAAGAAGACCTATATGATAGGGAAGCCAAGAGTCTCAAGAACATGATGACCGGGTGCAGCAGCTCACGCCTGAAATCCTGACACTTTGGGAGCCAGAGGCAGGAGGAGAGCTTGAGGCCAGAGTTTGAGACCAGTCTGGGTAACATAGTGAGACCCCATCTCTATAAAAGATTTTTTAAAAAATTAGTCGATGGATCATAGTGGTATGCACCTCTAGTCCCAACTACTTGGGCGGCTGAGGCAAAAGGATCACTTGAACCCAGGAGTTCGAGGCTGCAGTGAGCTATGATCATACCATTGCACTCCAGTCTGGGTGACAGAGAAATACCTTGTCTCAAAAGAAAACGAAAAAAAAAAAAAAAAGAAGATGGGAATGGGTTATGCTACAAATAGGTTAAGTGGGAAGAGGTCTAAAAAGTGCTCCTTCATTTTGCCTGTTTGAGGGTCATTGGAGACATTGGCCCATGTGGTTTTTATGAGGTGGGTGAATAGGAGGCTAAGTGAAGTTGAAGACTAGTTGGGAGGCGAGGAAAGGAGAACTAAGGCATAAAAAACAACTCTAGAGAAGACTGGTTATTAAAGGAAACTCTAGTTTATAGCTAAAGGAACCTGCAGAACTGAAGAGAGCCTCTGTAGGACAGAAGCGTCTGACACATTTGTATAGCTGGAGTGGGAACAGTAGAGAGTGGTGGGTTCAAAACACAGACGAAAGGGGGAAAAAATGGTCCCCAAGGAAAGAGAAGGGGGTGGGACCCTGAGTAGAGAGAAGGCACAGTCTTCCTCTAAGACCTGAGTGAGAAGCATTAGGACAGGTGCTCCTAGGAAGCTGAGAGGCTTAACATCTGAGAGCTTCCACTTTGTCTCAGAAGTAGAAGAGAAGGGCATTAGTGGAGAAGAGGGCAAAGGAGTTGAGGCACTGCACAGCTTGAGAGTGATGGAGAGCTGGGCTAGTCAAGAAGGGGAGTTGAAAAGGGGCTGATGAAGAACGGGAGACTTTCATAGCAAAGAGGCCCAGCTGAAAGTCAGCTTTACAGGGACTCCAGGATGCAGGGTTGTGGGGTCTTCTCCAGCCCACTCAGCAGCTAGGGGGCAGAAGAGGTGCATTCATTCATTCAACCCATGTTTGAGCACTCACCATGTGCGAGCCACTGTTTGCCTCCTTCACACTTAGGCTTCAGCCGTCCTGAACCTTCATCATTCTCTCAATAGGCCATGCTTGCTTTTGCCTTTGGGATTTTGTACATGCTGCCCCTTTTGCCTGTAATACTATTTCTTGGCTCGCTCTTCAGCTTTATCTTCCCTTTGGCCAGAGTAACTCACAATTTGGGTCTCAATTGAATTGGTCTCTCCTAGGAAGATTTTGCTAACCTCTTACTCCACCCTGGTACTGACATACAATGGGGGCCCTGCTCATAGTCAGCAGACACTGCTTATCTCTATTATACTATTTATCAAATCCAAAAATTGTTTGCATACTTGTCTGTCTCCCAGACTGAACTGTAAATCCCTTATAGACAGGCACCATATCTGTTCACTGATTCACTGTGTCTTATCCATTGAGCCAAGCATAGTGGCTGGCATGTGCTGGGTATTCTATAGATTTTTTTCCCCTGATGAATGACGAACATGACACAGTCCTGCCTCAATGCAGCAGTTGATTGTGAACTTGATTCTGATTTGTATATGGATGGGGTAGTTGTAACCAGGGGACAAAGATCAGAGACTTGAAGATAGAGAGAAATTGAAATTGCCTATGGGGCCAGGTGTGATGGCTCGTGCCTGTAGTCCCAGCACTTTGGGAAGTGGAAGTGGGCTGATCATTTGAGTCCAGGAGTTTGAGATCAGCCTGGGCAACATGGTGAAACCCTGCCTCTATAAAAAAAAAAGTGATAAAAATTAGCCAGGTATGGTGACACATGCCTGTAGACCCATCTACTTTGGAGGCTGAGGTGGGAGGATGGCTTGAGCCTGGGAGGTTGAGGCTTTGAGCTGAGATCACAACACTACATTTCAGCCCAGGTGACAGAGCGAGACCATGTCTAAAAAAAAAAAGGAGTTGCCTATGGGCTACCCAGTAGGGAAGGGAGTATAGTTAGACGGGAACAGATAGACTCTGAGAAAGGTGTCTATCTGTGAACAGACTGGAGATTTTGTTGTGGTCAGTGAGCAAGTTCAACAGGTGCTAGATAGGTTGAAGGATAAGCAATTGTGGGATTAGAGTGGAACACTGGGGTCTGAGGTTTCCAGGGTGGAGCAGTTTAGCATGGTGACTAGGTCCAGGGCATGGCTGTGAGAGTAAGCTGTCTGGAGCTGAGGCAGTAAAGAATTGTGTGTGTGTGCATGTGCTGGGAATAGGGTGTTGGATGGCCATCCATAGGGATTCTGAAGCCACTCAAGATAATGACAGGAGCTTGAAAATGACCAAAGATCAGAAGGAGAAGACATGATACTGCCAAATGTCAGGAACCTCAGGAGGTGTGAGGAGGTTATTGTGCAGAGTGCTGCCTTCCCCAAGGAAAAATGGTGACAGTGTTGCTCATCTCCATGTCAGTGGCTAAGTTGAAAAATAAGCATCCACCTGCTAGAAGTGAAGATGCAGTGTCTTCGTATTTCCAGGAAATGGATGAACTTCAGAGGGCTAGGTGGAAAGTTTGGAGGGAAGGTAACATTCCTTCCCGGCCTTATGTAATAAATTAGAACTTCATTTAGAAAAGTAAATGTGTTTTGCCCATTTTGTAAACAGGCTGATTGGCATAGATGAGTGAAACATTAAGATGCGGAATTTCTGACTTCATCAATTAGTAGTAACAAAAATCGTCATCTACTGGGAACACTGCGTTGCACATACTGTGCTGTGAGTTTTATATCCATTTTTTTCCTTTCTCCAAAAATATTAAAAGAAGGTGCAGGGAAAGAATGACTTTCCCTCTACTCTCCTGGCTTTTATAGCTGGGTCTACAAAATAAACTGACAACAGGTGGATTAACAGGAGAAAAGGTATTATACATGTATTAAGTTTTAATAAATTTTTAATGTTTGTGGGGGACATTGCAGGAAAAAATAAAAGTGAATAATCAAAAGAGCAGTGAGATTTGAGATGTTATGTACCATCTCAATAGGAGAAGGGGAGAAGGGATGCAGGTCACTTAGGGGAGAGTAAATGCTTTTTAGGGAATGAATAGTCCCTTAGAAAAACAGACGTGAGGTATGAGAGTTTGTGACAAAGTCTGTCTGAGTGTGACATTGACTTCTGGTCTCCTCTCCCGAGTGGGTAAAAGTCCTTCTTCCGTGTTTGATGAAACCACCAGCGGGGAGGAATTTAGGACAACTGAGTTTCTTTTGGAGGATCTGCCTTTAGGCAGATAAAGGGAGTTCAGAAAGAGCCTTTCCCTGCATTTGCTGTTTTTCAAGTGCCTTCAGCTCAAAATAATCAATATACCAACGTGGCATATTTTAGAGCGACATGTCCTGAATTTCTTCAAAGGTAATAACATTTCCTATTTATAGCTGAAAACTACGAGGCTCAGTGAAAACTTTACCTCCCCAAAGTCACACATCCAAAATGGCAGGTCTGGGGTTCAAGCCACGCCTGCCCAATTCTGAAGCCATGTGCTGCCTCCCCGTTGGTGGTATTTACTTCCCTGAATCAGTGGAAACTTGCTGGGAAAGGAACTCTTTATAATAGCACAAGCCTACATGCATATGTCATCAGTACCTACAGCCGGAGCAGCACTGTTGATTCCTGAATTCATATAGAGGACTTAGAAAAAGGGTATTTTGCCATTGTAGTCTATATGCTAGTCATGGTTAGTTATGTCGGTGTGACTCATGTGATCACTATGTTTTGTGTCCTCATGTTGATGTCAGTGTCAATGTGTTGGTCATTATGGAGCCAAAAGCAGCACAAACATGATACTGACCTACCTGTTATCTCTTTTGTCTGTCATTGTTGGAGGAAGGGCATGTCAGGGTGCCACTGGTCCATGTGATGTCTATAGACCAAGGGCCAACCTTCTTGTGAAAATGATCATCGCCTTTTTAATAATCTTGTACATTTTATAAATCTAGCAACATTGACTAATAGGAGGTGAACTGAAGGACCTGTCTTCTCCAGCAAGAATACCAGATTTAGAGAAATAATTGCCTTAATTTGATGTAACCATCCTTTAGGGTGTGGGTAAGCAGTCAAATGCAGTGGTTAGGGCAGTTTTGGAGAATTGCCCTGGGATTGGACAGATTGGGATTTTCATTCCAGCTCTGTCACATACTATCTGTTTAGTTTCAGGCAAGTTAACCTCCAAACCCTAATTCTTCCGTCTGTAAAGTGGAGATAAGAGTACCTGTCTCAGTGTTGTCCAAAGGATTCAATGAGTTCATCCATTGAGGGCTGTTAGTACAGTGTCTGGAATAGAGAACCACTCAATACCACCACTGATACTACTGTTCCTACTGCTAGAGTGTTCACTCAACTTTGAATGCCTAATGCAAGTGACCACCTGAAAAAAACAGTGGCAATGAAAACATTGATTTGGCAGATAGTTATTTAATTATATGTAATACGTATATGTTATCAACACAGAATTTTTGGGGGGCTTGGTAATTTTTGGAGGGCTCAGCTCCTGGGTATAAAATATACTAAATAAGTGCTGGATATGACAAGATAGATTGTTTCTTTTCTAATGAAAGTCTTTTCTTTGTCTACCTTTCTGGGTGTTTTACAGGAGGAATTTGATGGGGTCCTGAGAGAGGAGGCCGTGGCCGAAGCACTCCATCACTTGGGGCGCTCAGGCTCTGGGACTGAGCAAGTCTACCTCAATCTGACTTTGTCGGTGAGTATGACAAAATCTCCATTGGCTGGCTACAGCTTGACACTGGCTAGACCATATTCCTTTTCTTCAGTACTCACAGCTTTTGTGATGGCAGAAAATCTTGGAGCCTCACATTTGACGGAGACTGTTGATAAGAGATATTTATGTAAATATTAGACTCCAGAGAGCTCTGACCAATCCAGTAATCAGCCCCCCAAATTTCTTAGTTTTCATTCTCTTCGCATTCTATTTCTTTCATCTTAAGTAGTCTGTATTATAGTAATCAATGCTTTCTTTCCAGGAGGTTGAATTTGATTCTGTAAAACCAATCAAAGACTAAGAATTTTCTCTCTGATCAGTGGAAGAAGCACTAAACTTTATATCTGAATCCAAGGGAACAAAGTATTTTGATATTGACTTTCCCCACTAAGTATGTCAAGAAATAAGAGCCTTTGAGCTATATCTTACTTTCCAAAAGATACCTATCATTAAAGAAAAAAATCTATTATTATTCATCAGTTTTTAAGATTTCAGTACTCGTCATAGAGTAGCACAAAATCTTGGCTTCAATTTTATCAGAAGAGAGGCTGTAAGAGCAAACTACTGGGAATACTTGCTTCTTTCCTCATTTTGTTTCTCCGTAGTCCTAGGAAAACAATTTAAGTCGTTTTGCCTCCTTATATTGTAAAGCATTAAATATTCATTGGAGATCCACAGAGTAAATTTAGGTACATATGAGAAAAAAAAACGCGCATTGAAATTTTACCATGGCACCATGATTTGGCGAAAGGGTATATATAATTCACTGTAAGCCTGTTCTATCTTGGATTTGAATGAGTAAGCTATGCAAGAAATGTTAAACTGTTTTCACCTTTACTAATTCCATGGGCATGTCCTTCAAGGTCAGCATATTAAAACAGTAATCTTTTTCTATTTTCACTTTATAACATTTTATGGATGACTCAGCCAGTCAGGCAATAACATACAGGGAGCACCCTGTATGCATTGCACTGTGTTCGATGCTGGAATATGGTATATAATTCCAGCAGCCAATGCATCCCCACACAAGCCCCTTTCAATCAATATTCTACTTATGTAGGTACTGCTATGCCTTAAATTGATCTACCCCAAAAAGCAATCCTTTAAATCTTATTTCAGCTGGATGGACTGAAGCTTAATTTATTTTGCCACTGACCTCCTTACATTTGAGATATTACACGTTGAATTACTTTGACTTAATAACCTGTCTTACTGAATACACTTTCTTAGAGTTGCCTGGTTTGGTGATTTTTTTTTTCCTTTATGTCTTACTTATGTTACATGTTATTTTTTTACTTTCTCTTATTACTTGTGTACATATCTTCTCTTCTACCAAAGTCATAAGTTTCTTAAGGGCACAGTATAGCTCTTTTCCATCATTGTATTTCTCATCATGCCAAGCACAATGCCTTATACATAGTAAATATTCAGTAAGTGTTTATTTATTATTACTGTTCTAGCGGCCTTCATTAAGCAATCACCATTATTCTATATGAGAACCTGCTCATAATGACTCTTCATTGGTTTGCTTTTTTTTCTGACTCTGACATCACGACATAAAACAGTCATAGAAGTCTTTGTTCCACTCAACCGAATTCCCCTCAACCTCACTTGAAGTTGACTAGAATCAAGATTTCCTGAAAAGAATTTTGGACAAGGATTCAAGAGACTTAGATACTGCTTCTCTATCACTAACTTGCTGTGTGATTTCAGGCTATTAACATACCTCTCTGTACCTCACACCCCTCATCTCTAAATTGGGAGTAAGCAGCCCTACAGATTTCACAGCTGTGTTTGATCAGATGCGATTATTGTGAAAGAGCTTTGAAAATGAACCCGGTGAAAGTGTAGGTAGTATTGTTATTAATGATCTCCTGATGAGCTGTGAATTCTCTTTAAAACTTCATTTAAATTCTAGACATTTTTTTTCTTTTCTTCTACTAGATAAAGGCCTTGTCTTTATTGCTATTGTGTGATTTATTAAAAGAAAAAAAAAAGACTCTGTTCTAACGGTCTCCATGAACACTGCTTTAAATTGGCCTTTCATGTTGTATTTGTTTTTGCTAACAACACTAATATTACTAAGCTATTATTTTCTTCAAAGGAAGGGCTTTTTTTTTTTTTTTTTTTTTGGTGGCATCTGTTTTGAGATCCTATTAGTAGCAGACTTCAGATTTTGTTCTCTCACTTCTATACTTGTGAAAGAAATTCTGGATTTCTTTCCATCAACAGTTATTGCAAGAAGGCTGAGTAGTAACCTGATAAAGCAACATTAAGGTCTTTTACCTTTTATTTTCTCAGGGTTGTAATTTAATTGATGTTAGCATTCTCTGTGGATATGTTCACCTACAGAAGTTGGATCTTTCAGTGAATAAAATTGAAGGTATGTAATTGTCATTCTAGATTGATCACTGAATTTTCTGAAAATGTAAACGTTGCAGTAGGCAATATGGTTTAATAATACCAAACTTGATATAACTAATTTGTGTATCAATTTACATATTGATCCTTTGCTTTCCATGCAAGAAAGGCACCGATAACTGATGAGAGAGAAAAAGGTACAGATCTGCAATATTATGATGTGGCTGAGATGCAGTCAATGATATTTAAGACTAGGAGATGGAATGTTGGCTTTATTTTTTCCTTTTAAGAGATCGATCATTACTTCTTCAATGCTCCCTGAATATTTAATGATTTCTTTTCTTTTCCTCTGTCACTCAGTGCAGATGAATTAGTCTTTTTTTTCTTTAATGGATTCTTTTCATTTTGCTTTTGATTTATATTTTATTGCATTCCTTATTTTGCATTTTTAAAATCTTATTTTTAAAATTAAAAAAAAAAAATTTTTTTTAGATGGAGTCTCACTCTGTTGCCCAGGCTGGAGTACAGTGGCATGATCACAGCTCTCTGCAACCTCCACCTCCTGGGTTCAAGTGATTCTCCTGCCTCAGCCTCCGGAGTAGCTGGGATTACAGGCGTGTACCACCACGGCTGCCTAATTTTTTGTATTTCTAGTAGAGATAGGGTTTCGCCATGTTTGCCAGGATGGTCTTGAACTCCTGACCTCATGTGATCTGCTTGACTCAGCCTCCCAAAGTTCTGGGATTACAGGCATGAGACATCACACCCAGCCATCTTATTTTTGAGACAGGATCTTGCTCTATCACCTTGGCTGGAGTGCAGTGGCGTGATCACGGCTCACACAGCCTTGACATCCTGGGCTCAATCAGTTCTCCCACCTCAGCCTCCTGGGTAGCTAGGACTACAGACATGCCACCATGCCCAATTTTTTGTATTGATTGTAGACATGGGTTTTCACCATGTTGCCTTGCCTGGTCTTGAACTCCTGGGCTCAAGCGATCTGCCTGCCTTGGCCTCCCAAAGTGCTGGGATTATAGGTGTGAGCCACTGTGCCTGGGCCTACATTTTGTGTTTTAAATCTGTTAGCTCTTTTATCCTTATTATTGAGCACCAGAGATTCACAGATACATATTTTTCATTCTTTTTTTTGCTGTCTTTGTTTAGTTGATTCTTTCAACTCTAACTCCACCATTTGTAGTTCTATATAATTTATTTGTTATGACACCTTGTTCACATTTAATGAATTAGTCCTACCATTGTCAAATTTTCTTCAAAGCTTGATCCTTGTTTATGTTTTTCTGATCTTATTTGAAGTTGACAGTGTACAATGTTTTTCTTTAGATTTCTAAGGAAGTGAGCAAATCATTACTTCTGACCTGCTTTCTTCACTGATAATCTTTCCACTTGCTTCTTTTGCCTGCCTTTTTTATGACAAATAAATGTTGCTGATATGTCTTCTTTGTTTGATTTTGGTTTTTTTCCCCCTTCTAGGACCCTAATAATTAAAGTCCACTTTTTGACGATTAAGAAATATTCTAGCCCGTTTTCATTCTTAAAATGCTACTGTTTTGTTGAAAGACTTAATTTTTTTTCCCAGTTTTCTAAAGCTTTATTATGGAAAATTACAAATATGTGCATACATAGAATTTTGGAATGAATATTTGGGTTCAACAATTATCAGTCCATCTATATACCTCCCTGCCCCGCTTCCCCAGGGTTATTTTAAAGCAAATCTCAGATGGTCCTCTCATCAGAAGGCCATGAGTTTTCTAGTGTTTCTGGCAGGAGCACTTGGCCTACGCCATACCTCCGAGGTTGTTTCCGTTTGCTGGGTAGGAAATCGCGGAGTGGTGGGGGCCTTGCCAATGCTCAGTGCTGACAACAGGAGCAGGGAGGCCACAGTTACGCTCCAGGCGTTCCTCTTCAGCCGGGTCAGTACTCATGAACCTTGGATGGCACATTTCACTAGTTCATCAACTGTTTGAAAGCCTCCTGTGTGTAAGGTACAGCGTATTTTTCTTTTTGTGATGACAGCCTCACTGGTCTCCTGGTGTAGGCCAAACTTCAGACTGCGACCGAATCACCTGGCAGCCCTGATAACACAGATTTCTGGGCCCCACTCTCAGGGTTTCTGATTCCGTAGGTTTGGGGTGGGGCCTGGGAATTTGCATTTCGAACAAACTCCTGGATGAGGCTGATGCTGCTGGTCTGGGACCACACGCCGAGAATCAGTGATGGAGACACGAGGAGCTCCTGCCCTCTGGTGGGCAAGGAGGTCACTGCATTGATAGGGACAACAGGCCAGCTCAAGTTCAAAGTCCAGCAACCCAGACCAGGGACTTTTTTCTGTCTTGATATGAAAACACTGGCTATGTACAGTGTGTGAAATGCACTCACCATCTCTTTGTCTCTAGCTAAGTACTAGCTGCTGCCTCTGCTTCAAGAAGGATCTCCATTTACCTGCCCACAGAAAGATCATCTTTCATGAGGGTCTGGGTGTCCTGTGAAGTTAGTAGAGTTGAGACCACTACTGGCAGACAAGTAGCTGAGCTCAGCGTGGACAAATTGATACCAATTGGAAAGCAATCACAGTTTCTCCTTAGGTTTCCTCAAAGAGTTCTTCCTTGATTTGCTGATTCATTTCCAACAAAGTGTTAATGTCTCAAAGTATTGTCTCTCCTAGAACTATTTACATTTAGTAAGGAAGGGCATGGTTTCGTCCAGAGAAATAACATAGAAATTGGGGGGAATTTTCTGGCTTCAGTGACTATTGAAAAGGGAAGATACCAGGAGGTCCCTTACACAGCGTGTCCCACCCATCTCAGGGCAGGGCCCCAGCTACTCCAGACTGGCTTCCTTCCCCAGATCTGCATGTGTCTGTGCCACCTGGAGAAAGGTAGAAGCACTTTGCTTGGCTTTGGGTGAGGAGGCTCCACTCTCCCACTAGAGGCCGTCCCCAGGGGGTTGTAATAGCACATACTGTGATCTAGAATGAGGAGCGAGAGGGAAATGCTAGTATTGTTGCCATTTTCAGGCGGAGAAAGGACTTATTGGTAGAGACAGGGCCATAACCCTTCCTGTGTGACCCTTCCTGATTCCTTCCCTAATTCATTCCGCTACCTCTGTGTCTGCTGTAAAGTCATAGAGAAATGTAAAACAATAGTTCATATCTTTTATCTTTTATATGTAATTTCATTAGCAGTATCCTTTATTAGCACAGTAGTCCTTTACTTAGTATTCAAGATTCAAAGTGTGTGCTTGGGATAAAATGCAAAACTTGGATGTGCATTTGATCCAATCCAGAGTCAAAATCAAATAACAGCAATGAGTTAAATCACTTCAAATACTTAATGCGATCTGGTGCTAAGTCCAACTGAAACAAAATTTAATTTACAACAAAGAGAGTTTCCGAATTGTGGCATTTCCACTCTTTATGAAAAGATCTAATTTAGTTATTTAAGGGCTAATTATCAAGAGGATTATCAAGGCTTTTCCTTCTCATCCTTTTCTCAAAGGCTGGCAAGTTTTGTAGCATTTCACTGTTAGCGGGAGAGTGAGCGGGCATGAGGAAGAGGGCACAGGGATTGGTTACTTGGCTGCCCCCAAAACAGGGCATACAAGGATTGGCCACCCCGGCGGAAGAGGATTAAATTATTGACTCATCGAGAGTTTTCCACATTTTTTTGTGTGTGTTTCACATACTCCTGATTTTATTCCTCTCACTCATATGGAATAATTAAGATGTCTTTGCAACCATTATAATTTTAAAATATTCTGAGGTCATGTATACTGTTTTTAATGCCTTTGTCTTGTTATTTTATTGGCTCACCTTATTCTGTATCTGTTTCCCCCCCAGATTTATCTTGTGTGAGTTGTATGCCTTATCTCCTAGAACTGAATGCTTCTCAAAATAATTTGACTACATTCTTCAATTTCAAGCCACCCAAAAACCTCAAGGTAGACTTTATGAATACATTAATTACACATATTTAGGGGTTTGCAAAAGTGCATTAAATAAGCAAAATACCACTCAAATAGAGAATTCAGAGAGAATAAGATACAGAGGTAAGTAATGTAAGTTTCTGAATTGAAATAAAAAAGGCAACCTTGTGTATCCTTTATTTTGGAAAAGGGATATGGTCTGTCAGTGGATAGGCTTTCAGCAAGCTTTGTTCAAACCTGGTGTTCAAACCAACAAACTTTCCTCTGGTCTCCTTTTTCCCTCATTTGAATAGTAGTTATTATTGCACTTTTTTGTTATTATAGCAGAACAATTTTTTAAAAATATTACTTGGAAAATTTTATTTAAAGAAATGCATTTTGTTGTATATATTTGAGATGTACAGCATGATGGTATGGGACATATAGCAGAATAATTTATCTGAAAAATTTTATATCCAAATAATCTGTAAAAATGTCCTAGGCTCAAACTTTGCCCTTTTATTTATCCAACTTTACTTTTTAAGAAAATAATGCTTTCAGATCTCCATTCTTGCTTCTCTGCACTTGCTTTTGCATTTCTGAAGCAGAAATAAACTACCTATGAACAGCAGTGGATGGAATAGTTTGCTATGCCCTAGAGCAGTGAGTCTGTTGCTTAAATGCATGCCCAAATCACCTGTGGTTCTTGTGAAAAGGGAATTCTGACCCATTGGGTCTGGGGTGGGGCCTGAGCCTGTGATTACTAAACACCTTCGTGGTGATGTCATGCCACTGATCCATGGGTCATACTTAAGTAGCAAGGTCAGAGAGAAGTGGTTCCTACACTTTTCTGCACTTTAGAATGCCCTGGGAGAGTTTTCAGACCTACTGATGCCCAAATTCCGCTGCAAGAGATTCTGATTTAAGTGGTCCAAGGTAAGGCGTGGGCTTTGGACATTTTCTTTTTGGAGATAGGTTGGAGTGCAGTGGCGCAGTCTTGTCTCACCACACCTTCAGCCTCCTGGGCTCAAGTGATCCTGTTGCTTAGGCTGGAGTGCAGTGGCACAATCTTGTCTCACTCTCACCGCAACCTCGGACTCCTGGGCTCAAGTGGTCCTCTCACCTCAGTCTGAGTAGCTGGGACTACAGACACCTGCCAAAACACCCGGCTAATTTTTTTGGGTATTTTTTTGTAGAGATGGGGTTTCGCCATGTAGCCCAGGCTGGTCTTGAACTCCTGGACTCAAATGATCCACCTGCCTCAGGCTCCCAAAGTGCTAGGTTACAGGTGTGAGTCATCACGCCTGGCCTGGACTTTTAAAGAGACCATCAGGTGACTCTAATGTGCTGACAAATCTGGAAATGATCGCCCTGGGTTTTGTGATTAGTGTTGTTATATTGGACTCAAATATTTAACTAAAAAGTTATTTTAAGGAATGGACATCAACTATTGCTTTTTATTATCTATTAGTTTTATTTTATTTACAAACCAAATTAACTTAAATCCAAAATATTCTGTGGAGAGTTGCACAAATAGGAAAATCCGTTTGAAATCAAGAAACAGACATTCCCTTATACTGATGAGAGACCTTAATTTTCAATTTTTCTTCTATTTTATATCATTCGGTTATCAATAGCACACTTTTTCCCTTTGACATTGTAGTTTTTGCCAGGGTGACATTCCTTTGTGTAGGTAAGCCGCACGAGGTGCCTGTCTGTACTCAGTGTGGGGCCGCAGGGTTTTGAGGTTATCAGGAATTGAATTTGCAGAGCTGATTTGCTCCTCCTTTTGCTGTTCCAGTCGCCTTGCCTGAAGCCACAGGGCAGTCATTCATGGTAACAGCATGATCCCTACCCCAGGAAAAACTTTGGAGTTTCTCCCTTTCATACCCCTTCCTTGCACTCTCCCAGAAAGACCCCACAAACGAACAAAAGCAAATCATAGACCCCATCTTTAAGGTTCTGAGCTCCTGGAGAATTACGAGCAAATATATTGGTCATTTTAGAGAAGTGTGTACCAAGTGCCAGGCTGTACCCTGAGGTGCTGCGAGCCACTGTGAGCTCTGTGTAGACCTGGGAAGGAATGATGTTGGCTTCCTGGTGTTTCTTTTCTTTTCTTTGTTTTTTTTGAGATGGAGTCTCACTCTTGTTGCCTAGGCTGGAGTGCAATGGTGAGATCTTGGCTCACTGCACCCTCCTCCCAGGTTCAAGCAATTCTTCTGCCTCAGCCTCCTGAGTAGCTGCGATTATAGGCATGAGCCACCACACCTGGCTAATTTTGTATTTTTAGTAGAGATGGGGTTTCACCATGTTAACGAGGCTGGTCTCAAATTCCTGACCTCAGGTGATCTGCCCGCCTTGGCCTCCCAAAGTGCTGGGATTACAGGTGTGAGCTGTTGCGCCCAGCCTCAGGTGTTTCAATGTATTATTTAATCCCACCAATAAAGCTGTGGGGCAGCTGGTACTGTCCTGATACTGAAGCATGAAAGGTTAAGTAACTAACTTCACCTTTGTTGGGAGGTAGCGGAACTGGGATTGAACCCACTGTCTGAGACCCCACAGCCCGCATCTTTCCAGTAAGTCAGGCTCGTGTACTATCCCCCACCCTCTCGAGAAGCTCCACTTCCTTTTCATTTAATATCTATGAACCTGGTACCACCAACCAGACAGAACATGCATTTCCTAGAGTGGGAACTTGTACGTACACTCTTTTTGTATTTATTAGAATGCTTTTGCTCTTACTAGGTGAAAAATGTTAATTTGACTTGATGGCTACTTTTTCCAAGCTCTAGGTTCCAATGGGAGTCCAAACAATGGCACAAACCCCTTTAAGGTCTTTCAAGAAACCTGACTGGGCACAGTGGCTCAGGCCTGTAATCCCAGCACTTTGGGAGGCTGACACTTGAGGTCAGGGGTTCGAGACCAGCCATGGTCAACATGGTGAAACCCCGCCTCTACTAAAAATACAAAATTTAGCCTGGCGTGGTGGTGGGAGCCTATAGTCCCAGCTACTTAGGAGGCTGAGGCAGGAGAATCGCTTGAACTGGGAGGCTCAGGTTGCAGTGGGCCAAGACTGAGCCACTGCACTCCAGTCTGGGCGACAGAGTGAGACTCCATCTAAAAAAAAAAGAAAAGAAAAAGAAACCTAATACCATAGCTACACGGAGAGCATAGTATTAGCTCCCCTGCCTGAGGTGTAGTTACACAGATGTCATGCTATGGCACCAGAATGAAAGGTGTTCATGAAAAAGTGTCAATGATAAGTAAACCCTATATGATAAGTTTATTCCTAGTTTATTATTATTCTGTAGAAGAAAAAAATGAATGTTAAACTCCATTTACATCATGCCAAATTGACTTATTTCATAGTATGCATTTTACCTAGCTCCTATTTGCATATGCATACATTTGGTGTTCTGATTTTTTTAGTAACACTTTTATTTGTACATTTCTGTTTCTTCATATGGTCTGCTCACTTGTATTTTACTAAGTAGTCCTGTTGCTTGCTATATTGCAATTCACTTCATCAGTTTTCTATGCCATTTGAGTTGTATCTAAATTAGTTTTTAGTGTTTACTATATAAAGTTTTTAGTATTTAAAGGATTTAGTATTTAATGTGTTGCTAAAATAATCTCCATAAATTTAGGGGGTGAAATCACTATTTTAAAGGACATGGAAAAATAAGAATAGCACTTATTGTGTAATTGATTGATGGTTTTCCAGAAAATGATTATCATGTACCCAGCATATTATGAATGCAGTGTTTCTAAAACTTGAGTTTTTCTTTCCTTAAAAAACCTTTTTTGTTTATCTTTTGCCAGTAGGTGAATAATTGAAGTTATTTAATGTTGTTTTTTAGTCTTACATGTTTGACTAGGAACAACAGATGTTGCTGAAAATGTTTTCCTACAGTAGTCAACTTTGAGAAAGAATGTAAAGTTGAGGAGGCATTGCCTGGAGATGAATAAGAAAGACTAGGCCGGGCATGGTGGCTCACACCTATAATCCCAACGCTTTGGGAGGCCGAGACGGGTGGACCAGGAGGTGGGTCAGGAGATCGAGGCCATCCTGGCTAACACAGTGAAACCCCGTCTCTACTAAAAATACAAAAAAAAAAAAAAAAAAAAAATTAGCCGGGTGCAGTGGCACACGCCTACAGTCCCAGCTACTTGGAAGGCTGAGGCAGGAGAATTGCTTGAACCTGGGAGGCGGAGGTTGCAGTGAGCTGAGATCGCACCACAGCACTTCAGCCTGAGCAACAGAGTGAGACTCCACCTCAAAACAAACAAACAAACAAACAAAAATGAATATTTTGGCATTTAGAGAGTATCATGGGACAATATATGGAAATAGGAATAGAAAAGGTAAAGGAACAGGAAAGAAGATATGCACAGAAATGAAGTGAATACAGTTTACTGGGCAGTAGAGAAAATAAAATGGTTGTAGGTAAGGATGAAATTGAGGTAAATCCTGCAGGAAGACCAAGGAAATTTAAAATAAATGCTAAAAGTGGAGAGCGTGGCTGCAGGAATTGAAAGTGTTTAGGTTATTGGGAGGTTCCTGTGCACCATAAGGAAGAGGCCTTCTTACTATCCTCAAGGTGGACAGAAAAGTATCCCAGTTAGAAAATGATTAAATGGCTCGGTGCGGTGGTTCACGCCTGCAATCTCAGCACGTTGGGAGGCTGAGGTGGGCGATTCATGAAGTCAGGAGATTGAGACTACCCTAGCTAACATGATGAAACCCCATCTCTACTAAAAATACAGAAAAAACTAGCTGGGTGTGGTGGTGGGCACCTGTAATCCCAGCTACTCAGGAGGCTGAGGCAGGAAAATCGCTTGAACCCAGGAGGCGGAGGTTGCAGTGAGTTGAGATCATACCACTGCACCCTAGCCTGGGCAACACAGCAAGACTCCATTTCAAAAAAAAAAAAAAGATTAAAGACAGATGACTCCTTTAGCCTTAGTGTACTTTCAGTAATGAATTCTAACTTTACATTCGGAAATACCTTCTTCTTGTGCAGTTAATTGTGGTAAATATGAAAAGTAAAATATTAATGTAACATTTTGTTCTCTTTTTCTTGCCAGAAGGCGGACTTTTCCCACAACCACATTTCTGAAATTTGTGATTTGTCGGCGTATCATGCTCTCACTAAACTAATCTTGGATGGTATCCTTTGAATAAGTAAAGGGGAAAATTTTAAAAACAATATAAAAATTAAAGGCTACATATACAAGAATTGTACTAGATTACATGGACTAGATTACATGGACTAGTACCAGATAAGCAATTTAATAGAGATGTGATTCATTCAAATGACTAGGAATTGATATTCACAAAATGAGGATAAATATTTTATTTACCAAGAAATGAAACTGTGAGTCAAAGCTTGCCAAGAGTATCTTACCCCTGAAAAGCTAAGTAAGATAGTCATCCTTCTGATAAGTGTAGGCTTATTCTTATTCTAGAACCAGAGAAGAAGTTCTGTTGTAATTAACTCCTTTCTCAGTCATGTGTGTTGGCTCACACCTGTAATCCTAGCACTTTGAGAGGCCAAGTCAGCTGGATCACCTGAGGTCAGGATTTCAAGACCAGCCTGGCCAACATGGCAGAAACCCTGCCTCTACTAAAAATACAAAAATTAGCCAGGTGTGGTGGGGCACACCTGTAATCCCAGCTACTTGGCAGGCTGAGGCACAAGAATTGCTTGAACCCAGGAGGCAGAGGTTGTAGTGAGCTGAGATTGTGCCACTGCACTCCAGCCTGGGTAACAGAGTAAGACTCCGTCTCAAAAGAAAAAAAAAAAAATTAACTCCTTTCTTCAAATTTACTGAAACTTGTGTCCTATTTTATGTAAATTCAGTATTTGAAAATCTAGATATGGTCATAAGGAAAATTAGTGATTATTTATTTTACAATAAGTTCATGCTAAGTTCTCTTTAGTAAGCTTTTCTAATGTATTTTAAATATGCTTTCATTCTTTTTTTAAAAAAAGAACTTTTGATTTGGTTTGAACATACCTGTTTCATGAGCCAGGCTCCCATGCAAGCAGAGCACCTACTTTAAAGACAGGGAGCTCCAACTTCTAGAGCTAAGAAGGGGCTAATTGGAGATCCTGAGTTTAATGAGCTTGAGTCTCTTCTTCACACCAGAGACTGATGTTTTCTTGGTGGCAGGGGAGCCAGTACCTTCTCTTTCTCAGTAAGTATCTTTCTATTCACCTGAGGATTTTTGGGGACAGAATGGAGAATGAATTGATTGCCTTGGGTGCCTCATTCAGGGATGTGACAGCAGCTAGTACACACTACATTTGTGATAAGGCTGAGATGAGGGACAACAGAGGGTACATCTTCTTGAAGACGTATCTTGTAAAAGAAAAAATCCTTTATTCATATATGATGGAAAGCTTGGAACATAGCACCACTCCCGTTAGAACCTGTGTGTGAAAATGAGCAATTAGTGGACATTTAGATGATGCTTAAATGAGCAAGTGTTTCTGATTATAGCCTAACAGAGAAATCAGAAAGTGACCAAAATAACACGTTTTGTTGACAAACTAAAAGCATACACATTAGCAGCGTATCTCTGTAGAACCTTCACTTCATGCTTGACTATCATATATTTTGAGTTTGCAAAGAGATAGCCGGACAGTCCAGAAGCTATCTGGCTCAGACATCCATTTATCTCAGGCTGTGTAGGGTGCTTCACAGGAAGGTCCACAGCAGCAGCAGCACCTGGAACTTCATAGAAATGCAGATTCTTGGGCTCCATTGCAGACCTAAGAAATCAGAATTTGCATTTTAATAAGACCCCCCCCCCCCCACAAAGCAATTTGAGCACACATTAAAGCTTAAGAAACACTGGGGTTGGTCTAGGCCGGGAGTGGTGGCTCAAACCTGTAATCCCAGCACTTGGGGAGGCCGAAGCGGGCGGATCATGAGATCAAGAGATAGAGACCATCCTGGCCAACATGGTGAAACCCTGTCTCTACTAAAAACACAAAAATTAGCTGGGCGTGGTGGCCCGTGCCTGTAGTCCCCAGCTACTTGGAAGGCTGAGGCAAGAGAATCACTTGAACCTGGGAGGTAGAGGTTGCAGTGAGCCGAGATTGTACCACTGTACTCCAGCCTGGTGACAGAGCAAGACTCCATCTCAAAACAAAAAAACAAACAAAAACACTGGTTGGTCTAGAAGTCAGCAGCCCCTAAATTCTTGCTAACCAGAAGAATTCAGCAATTAGGGGACCCTGAATGCTGATAGTGACATGACAGTCTGGAGTTTGTTATGGAGATCTCTTGTTCCCCCAGAAAACATTCTATGTTTTGACATGGAATTGCCAAAGAAAACAACTCCACAGTATTTTGGACTCAAAACACAGTTGAAAACATTTCTATCATGAGAGTCTTAATTTCTATGTACATTTAGCTTTCCGTGTAAAAACTAAAGTATCATGATTTTGTAAATGTCAGATATTATGAAAAAAGGAATTAGGGTTTTTTTCCTTGACATTAGATGTAGCAATTGAGTCTTATCACTAAAGTATAAAAAACTGTAATTATTACATCAAAACCAATAGAAGTTCAGAACATGGGTATATAATTAGAGTGTAACGTGGCACCATTTCTCGCCTGTGTTTTAAAAAATGCAAAAACAAACTATCATTCATTAACTGTTAATGAAATAAACTTCTTAGATCTCTTGCAGTTTTGAAAAGATAGTAGGCTAGTTTTGAAACAGCATGAAATATACTTCTTTCTCTCCGGTTCTGTGTAAGCGTATCATATTGTGCATGGTATAGGTGGTGAAGTTGCACAAGCTTTTCTGGACAGCAGAAAGCAAAAATATATCTAGATGATAAATTAATGTCTTGAGAAGAAAAATCACTAGATTAGACTGTTTTTGAAAATATTAAAACTGTTTGATTAAAAAGAGAATTTTGAAACAACTTTTATGTCAGTACAGTTGAAAACTTGGATGAAATACAAAAATTCCTAGGAAAATATTACACATCAGCTTGGAAATAGAAACCCTGAGTAGTCCTATAACTATAAAAGTAATTTATTATAAATTAAAATAAGCTAAATTAAAAAATTAAAAATCTTTCTACCAAAAAAGCCTAGACCCAAAATTTTCAAAACATACCTTCTAATAGTGAACAAATTCTTTCAAACACTAAAAATAGAAGGCATATTCACAATTCATTTTAATGAGGTTACTTTGATATCTAAGCCAGCCAAGGAGCAATAAGAGAAAGGAAAATGACAGGCTTGTCTCACCCATGATGTATCTGTAAAAGTCCTAAACAAAATATTAGCAACAGAATCTGACAGTGTATTAAAAAGACTCTGTATTACCACCAAATTGGGTTTTTCTCAGGAGTGTATGGAGAGTTTAATATTAGAAAATCTATAAACATAATTAACTATGTTAATAGATTAAGGGAAATAAACCTTATGATCTAGAGATATAGAAACTCAACAGACAATTTAATAAAATCCAGCTCTCATTCACAATAAAAACTCTCAGTGAACTAGTAATAGGGAATTTCCACAAATTCATAGAGGATGCCTACAAAAATCTTTGAAACACACTTTATCCTAATTGGGGAACATGTTCTAAGCTTTCTCCTTTAAAATGGGAACAAGTTAGGATGTCTGCCATTGCCACTTCAACCCATCATTATTTTGGAGGTCTTAGCCAACACCATAAAACAAGAGAAAGAAATTAAAGGTGTAAAGGTTAGTAAGGAGAACATAAAAGTCATTCTTTGCAAATGACACATTTATCTATAGAGAATATTAAAAATGTGCAATAAGCTACTATAAATAAGAGTTTTGAGAGTTCAACAACATGACTAGATATGACTTCAATAAACAGAAATCAGTTGCATTTCTGTATGCCAGAAACAAGCAATTAGAAAACAACTTTTAAAAGAAACCCATTTATAAAAACAACAAAAACAAATCTTATTAAAGATGAATAAGACTTGTGGGGGTAGGAGGACTAACAAAACTCTATTTAAGGGTGTTGAAGGCCTAACTAAAGAGAAATATATCCCATGTCCCTGGATAAGAAGATGGGCAAAATAAAAGATTAGAAAAAGAATTTTATGGAAAATAAATCAGAGAAGGCAAATAAACATACGAAGAGATATCAACCTCATTTGTATTCAGATAAATGCAACTAAAGACCACATGAAATGTGCTCTTAGTGGATATTAGTGGATATTGTATTATATCCATTCAATTGACAAAATTTAAGAAATCAAAACATACCAAGTGTTGGAGAACTTGTAGATCCAGAAGATCTTTTTGCCTTGTTTGTGGGTATGAAATTAGTTCAACCACCATAGGAAACAATTTTATATTGTCTTATAAAGTTGAGCATCCAAGTTCACTTTGACCTAGTACTTTTACTCCTACATGTGGAAAGTTTAGCATATGTGTACTTGGAGCATTGTATAAGAATGTTCATAGCAGTATTGCTTCTACTAGTAAAAAATTGAAACAGCCCAAACACATTCATAAGAGAAAGCATGAGTTATGGTATAGTCACACAACAGCATATCATACAGTATGAGAAAATGAATGAAATATATCTACATGCATGTAAATAAAATTTAGGCATAAAACTAAGGAAGGTAAGAGGAAAGACAACTGAGCATAGTTACTATCTCTGGGAAGGAGACACAGGGATTTGACAGGAGAGGTATGCAGAGGTAGGTTCAAGTTAATTTTCTACTGATCGGGCTGAGGGGCACTAGTTTCAAGCATGCTCATATTTTTAAAAATAAAATCAGTCAAGCATAGGTCAATGGTGAATCAAGTATTAAACTTAGCTCAGCTCTATGTAAAAATTTAAAAACCCGAAAATTCTAAATTATTTTCTTTTAAAATAATTCTTTAAAATAAAAACAAATCAGTTGAGCTAGTAATACCGACAGTGTAATTGTAGAGGATTATATCAATATTTCAGAATGAATCGGTAACTATAAGATATCAATTTTTTATCTTACACTATTTTGTCTTTCCATATGTGGATAATTGATGATTAATTGATAATCATCCTAAATTGCAGTACAATAAGCTTTGCCAAGGTTAAGTAAGTATATTTATTCTTAAGAAAGGGTACAGTTTATTCTTTACCTATAAACATTGACTAGTTGTTTATTAGAATTTATGATGATAGAATAATGGAATTTAAAAATTCATAGAAATTTAATTCCAGACAGAAATTTAGAGATCAGCTAGTGCTAATCACTATTTTATTTTATGGAAGAGGAGCCTGGGACTCCAGAAGGGTCAACAACTTGCCCCAGATTATTTGGTAAATGGTTGAACTGAGACTTCTGAATTCCATTGTTTTTTCCATGTTGCAATTCATTGAGTAATTACAACTTTTGTCACAGAGGCATTTAAACTATGCGTGTTTCATTTCTTGGAGAGATTCTCTCCCACAGTGAAGAGCATTTTTCACTGGTAAGGTGATATAGATCTTTCAGGATTGGTTTTGATTAAAGCCATCATTGCAGCTCTCTCCACTAAGAGTACTGTGATGGATTTCCTACTATTTCCCAGTAACTGTTTTCTATACACCCGAACCATATTTTATGATTGTAGACAAATGAATAAGAGCAAATACTGAACTAGTGAATAATTCATGTCAAGCATTGTGAACTACTGACAGCATCGTCAAAATGTAAAAATATATTGTTGAGTTTTTCCCCAGTTGTAAAGTTATGCTTAAGTGTCACAGGATTCCTTCATTCAGTTTCCCCAAGGATCTACAATTTCACTTTAAAAGATTTATTCACAGAATCATAAAAGTTTAGAGCTGGAATGTGGTATGATGATTTTGAGTTCTTTTGAGTTTCTTTCTCCCAATAGTGGTCTTTTAAAATTAAAATATACCTAAGAGGATTAACCCAGTAAGCTAACTCATTGTAATGTGTAGTGATTTATCAGATTATGTTTCTTTTTATCAGGAAGTCCCAAGACCTATGAAAGAACACGAATAACGTTAGGAGGAAGGGCAAGTAACATTTTCTGAAGGTTCTTAAGAGAACGAGAGTTTGGGGAGATAAAGATATTGAAGACCAACTATGAACTCAAAGCTCTCTATGACCCAGGCTTGCATATTGACTGTTGGCAGTGCCGCCAGGCACACGAGGTGACTGTGGGAGCAAGTAGAGGAAAAAGCTGTTGTGTCACTATAGAAAGTTCTCTATACTCAGAAGCCTGATTAATTTAGAGTGCCTGAAGTTCCTTGATATTTAAAGGAGAGTGAAAAGCTGAGAAACAGGAGGAAATAATTTTTCTGGAATGAGCATATTTCTCAACAGAGATGTTCAGGCAACTCCTGCTCCTTTGCCCCAGTGCTGTTAGTGACCGCAATGGCACCTGCAGAAACCATGGCTGTGATTGCAGTGAGCGTCTGAATTCCTCCTCCCTTCTGTCCTTGCAGTGCTAATTTCAGAACACATGACTAGCTGTGGGAGTCCAAGCCAGAGAGTAAGTTGGATGTACCAAGGGAACTGTGGTTAGCCTCTAATGTCTTAGAAAATTACTGTAGACACAATAAACAAGCTTTCCTTTTTGATTCCCGATATCTCTTGATAATTTCAGGATTCCTGTTTTCTAGTTTTCTGATCCTTGCCTGCTTCCCATGAGAATACTTCCTGAGGCAGATACCCACAAGCACTGGTTTTATTCTGCCGTGATTCAGAGGATCTTCACCTTGGTTGGGGTAGAGCTACCAGGACACTCTAGTGCTTCTAAAATAGGACTTAAACGTGATTCCTGTCTTTGCTAAACTGAGACAGATGGCCATTCGAAGTTTTCCTTGCACAGTTTTTGTTGCCAAAGATTGCCCGCTCCAAGGGTATTTTATTTCATCCATACCTGAGTGAGATAGTTTAATCTCCTATTTCTCATGTTTCGTATTCATATTTTGTTACAATCTGTATCTACAAAGATCTGGTCTTTGTTCTAGTTTCAGAACAATTATTTAAGCAGCCCAAAGAAAATAGAACCAGAAAGGATAGTATTTGCGAGCACACACATCTGTTTGTAGGGCTATTCTGGCAGGAAGCTTTATGGAAATAGATTTGAAAATGCATGTTGACCACAAACAATCCAAGGATTGAAACTGAAACCATTGAGGAAAACCCAAGAATTTCTGGTACATTTTACATTTTTGTCTAGTTTCCTTATTTACCTCTTTCTCTGGCCTAAGTATTTTCAGGCTTAATCCTAACCTTGAATTTTTCATTTCTGTGCTATTGGCCAAGAGATAGAGGATGTGCTTCCTTGGCCTCAAGTAATGTAATTTGGTAATGATATCAATGCCTTTTAATTGTGAGATGATTTATGGTTTGTTGCTCATTCACACCCATTTTCTAATTTTTTTACCATGACCTAACTTTTGGCCTTAATGGCCACCTGATACTATCCCCACTTTAAATGAAAAATCTACAAAGTAGTAGAGTTGGGATAATTACAAATAATTATGGAGGCGTAATGTTTTTGTGATATTTATGACTTCTTCCTTCTTTTTTAAAAAAATTCTTTGTTTCTCTGATTAATGGAAGGAGATAGCTGGAGATTAGAAGATGACCAGGAGAGGCTTTGAGGAAGAAATGGTTTGTCTAGAATATATACTAAGAAATGGAATGGCTGTGACATATTTACAGTTATGATAGACATTGCAAAATTGCCTCTAAAGTGGCTATATCATAATGAACTCTCTCAGTAGTATAAAAGTATCTGTTACTCAAAACTTTTTACTTTAAAATGTTTGCCAAGCTAATGAGTAAGGAATGGCAGCTTATCTTAATTTGCATTCTCGTGACTACAGGTGAGACAGAATGTCTTTTCATATGTTTATTAGCCACTTGGATTCACTCTTTTGGAAATTGCCTGGGCATATTCGTTGTCCATTTTTTATTGGGTTGTTTCTTTTCTATTGATTTATTGTCATTTTTAATGTATTCTAGGTAGAATCTTTTGTCTGCTAATATATGTTGTGAACATGTTCTTGTAGCCTATCATTTTCACTTATTTATGTATTTAAAAAGTAATAGTAAGAAAATAAATAGTAAGAGAATGAGTGTTATATGTCAAAAAGAAATACTTAAGATATTGATTTAATGTGAATGTTAAAAAAAAAAGAAAAAAGTGGGATTTGGAGTTGTCTTGAAGAATGGGTGTGGTTTAGAAAGAAGTAGGAAAAAGAAAGTTCTTGGTACATTCCAGAACTATTGAGAAATTGACCTGGCAGGAATAAGGTATTCTCATTAGATGATAATGTCGATGGAACTGGATAAACAGGTTTTGCTTATAGTAAAGGGCCTTAGATAGAAGAGTGAGGAATTTGGAATTCGATGAGAATTTTTAAATTGAAACATGATATTCAATCAATATTTTTAAAAATTAATCAGCCTACAGTGTGTAGAGTGACTTTAGGGCAGAAAGTAATGGATATTAGTGTAACTATTGATGTTAACGGTGAGTTAAGTTGGTAGAGGAGTGAATAAAAAGGAAAGAAATCATTAAAGAGATATTTTAAGGCAAAAACATGGCAGGTCTGGTGATTGGATGCCTTGCAGATTATGAGTGGCTGAGAAATGGAGATGTCATGGGTTACTTGAGAGGAAAAACTGAGCTTTGATGGGGAAATGACATTAAATCCTGGAAATTGGTCAAAGAGTTTGAGAACAGAGAGAGCTGAACAGAATTAATGACTTTGAGATTGTAGTGTTAGGTGACTACAAGATGGAACACAGAAGATAAGCTAAAATTTTCACAATAAATGGAACTTAACAGATGAAGAAAGTAAGGCAGAGTTTAAGCCTCACTGATTTTACAAGGAGAATAGAGGTCAATGTAGACAGAAAGAAAGGGCTGTTCCTTTCTATAACAGGGTATTGGTCTTTGGACCACCCATTTGCTACAGATGACACCTCCCAGGCTCTTAGCCCAGTTATGCGGATAATAATGCGTGGTGCATGTTGCCCCTGCAGGGCGATCTGGTAGTCAGAAGTTCTGCCTGTGGGAACACACGTGAGTTTCTCATGGGGACTTAACTGATCAAGGGAAAACACAGTGCCAACGAGGCAGCTATGAGCCACGGTGATTTTTCTTTCCATACTGATTAAATAAGTCAAATACAACCCAGCACACTCAAAAGCTATGCCTTTTTAATTTTGAGACGGAGTCTCGCTCTGTTGCCCAGGCTGGAGTGCAATGGCATGATCTCGGCTCACTGCAAACTTCGCCTCCCTGCAAACTTCACCTCCCAGGTTCACACCATTCTCCTGCCTCATCCTCCCGAGTAGCTGGGACCACAGGCATCCGCCACCATGCCCAGTTAATTTTGTATTTTTAGTAGAGATGGGGTTTCACCATGTTAGCCAGGTTGGTCTCGATCTGCTGACCTCGTGATTTGCCCACCTTGGCCTCCCAAAGTGCTGGGATTACAGGCATGAGCCACCACACCAGGCTGCTATGCCTTTTTAAAATAAAAATTGTATAAAATATGACATGTTCTGTATGGAAAAATGTATTTCAGGATTAATAATCATCCTATATTGGGCATATAATCATTCTTTATTTAAACTGCGGGCTGTTTTGTCTACTGATGATTTAACACTGATTCTTTTTTTTCTTCCAAATGCTTTTAATAACATTTTCCTTAAACGTAGTCATGGTATATAGGCAATGAGATAGAAGAAATCAGTGGACTGGAGATGTGCAACAATCTAACTTACCTTAGTTTGGCCAACAACAAGATCATGACAATTAATGGCTTAAACAAGTTACCAATCAAAATACTTAGTCTGGTGAGTCTAACAAAATGTCCTTCTTTATAGAAATAGTAGTTCATATTTTTAGTAACTGCATGAATTATGACTATTTAGGATTCAAATATATAAAGAGCAAATTCCTCCATGAAATGTTATTGTCTTCAGTTGTGTTTACTCCTTTCTTTACCATTTGCATGTGTGTGTGCGTGTGTGGTTGTGAGAGACAGAAAGCAATATTTCATGCTAAAGTAAAATGATTTGCTAATTTGTTATCCAAATTCAATATTTTAAATGATTGACTTTTTTATACTAGGGAAGAAAGGTATACTTTTAGCATGTATTTACAAATATTTTTTATAATATCTTATTGGTGAAAATAACATTTAAGGATACTTAAGCATAGTATTTATTGCTGTTAACACTTTAACTGCTTTCAAATGAACCACAAGATGTTTTCTGGGTACTGAATTTTGACAGTCCTTTTATTTTAACATGTGTTAGTCTTCCACTCTAGAAAATAAAAAATAGTGCTAAGAATAAATGAACAATTCCAATCAGAAAGTTTAAATGTGATTATTTTTTCCCACAGAGGGCACTCTTTTGAAGCTGTGTGACCTGCTGTGTGACTATGACTCAATTTTCAGAAATTCAGCAGGATTCTAATAGTCCCAAAGATATGCACAATATTTTTGAAATAACGGTATAGCTCCCTAACTTGGGGGTCTACAGTATTGTCTGTAAAATATCCAGGATTCTTTCTTCTCCTTCCTCCTACCTCTTACCCCCTTGGGTGGCTTTGCTGTTCTTCATTACATCTATCATGGGGTGGGCAGGTGGGATTTCAAGCCATGAGGCTTGTAGCTTGTAAATTTCTTACGAGAACTATCCCACAGAGGGTTGTTGAAACTGTTGCTTGAAATGCCATCTTGGGCCATGCACTACAATTCATGCCTGTAATCTCAGCACTTTGGGAGGCTGAGGTGGGAGGATCACTTGAGTCTGGGAGTTTGAGACCAGCCTGGGTAACATAGCCAGACCCTGTCTCTACAAAAAATAAAAAATTCGCTGGGCATGGTGGCGCAAGTTTCTAGTTCCAGCTACTTAGGAGGCTGAGGTGGGAGAATCACTTGAGCCCAGGAGGTCAAGGCTGCAGTGAGTCATGATCATGTCGCTGTACTGCAGCCTGGGCAACAGAGTGAGACCCTGCCTCAGAAAACAAAACAAAACAAAAAAAAGAAATGACATCTTGGATTATCTGCTGATTTTTGACATATGCAATACACTATTTCTGTCTTATTTAACCATAGATCACTGAAGATTGGCTATGTGTTATTTTTTTTTTCCCTTAGCTTAGAGCTCGAAGTGCTTTCTTAAAACTCTTCCAGGCTGGGCGTGGTGGCTTATGCCTGTAATCCTAGCACTTTGGGAGGCCAAGGCAGGTGGATCACAAGGTTAGGAGTTCAAGACCAGCCTGGCCAAGATGGTGAAACTCCATCTCTACTAAAAATACAAAAATTAGCTAGGCGCGGTGGCGGGCGCCTATCATCCCAGCTACTCAGTAGGCTGAGGCAGGAGAATTGCTTAAACTCAGGAGGCAGAGGTTGCAATGAGTCGAGATTGTGCCACTGTACTCCAGTCTGGGTGACAGAGAGAGCCTCTGTCTCAAAAAAACAAAATAAAACGAACAACAACAACAAAAACCACAAACCAAACCTCTTCCATTCCTGCAGTGAGTTAGGTTGGGATAAAGTACTGGCATCCCAGTACTGAGGATGAACCTGAGGGTTTAATAATTTTCCTGATCTTTCATGTTTTCTGCCCATGAAGGCATGTAAGCCAAACATAAATGAAAACGAATTTGATAAATTAGATTGAAAATGTTCAAGTTAGAAAAGAAAGTCACATTTTAAAATTATGACAGTCTGAAGGATTTTTTAGCAGCATGTATGCTTCATTTTGTGGTCTGTTGGAATCTTGTTCTTTTCTTTACGTATCTTCTCTGTATTGATGTTCCCATTCATTTAAAGTGGAGCATGGTAAATAGAAAAAGATATAGGGGTGTGCTTAAGGAAATTAGAATGAACTCATTATTAAGAATAATAATATGTAGCATTTTCATCCTAAGAGTGTGTTTCAATTGCAAAATAAATAATCCATGTTGACAGTTCTGTCTCAGGTAGCTTTTAGAAAAAGGATAGAATACTTCTATTTTCTTAGATTTGGTGGATTGTTCCCAGTCTCTGCCCTCATCACCCAAGATCAACTAGAATACACGGAATATACTATCATTCATTTTTCTTAATTTTTTGAGAATAGAAAGGTTTTCTTTTCCAAAGTTTAATAAAATCTGTAAAATTTGTTTCAATAGTTTTTAATGCTTTTATTTTTAATTCATGGAATCAGGAAACCAGCAGCTTTAGTTACTATTGAAAATAATTTACAATTTAGAGAAAAAAGAACAACTCACCATACAAATCAACTGTTAATTCTCGCATATCAACTTTTGTGATTAATATAAGTGGAAAATGTGGTTCGCTAATGAGCTGTTCTGTCACCCAGCTTCTTAGCAAGTAATAACAATGCATTCCAAACTTTAAAATTCATTTTGTCACAGTAAACACTGCTTGTTTTTTTCTTCCAAAATTGGTTGGTTAAGAATGTTTCCAATTTCATTTATTCAAGAAAATGGCTTTATTCTAAAAGTCTTTTCCCAGATAATCATTATGAAACAAGCAGAAAGAAGTTTTTGTGCAGAAGCTGGATGTCTACTTTTAGGAGAGATGCACTGGTTTTTCAGCATTGGATAAAGAGTTTAACTAGAAAACTTTCAATTCAGAAATTCTGTGATTCTAAATTTTTTCAGTTCTGGTTTCTTTTATGACTATAGGCTATCTAATTAAACTTTTCTATGCTCACTCTTCTCATGTCATCTACCACTTTGAAAGCCATTAGAGATACTGTGGGAAGAATTAGTCTATCTACCACACCTAAAGGACTTCAAAGTTCTCTGGGAAGAAGTGTATTAAAAAGAATTACAGTCTATCTACCACATCTAAAGAATTTCAGAGTTCTTTAGGAAGAAATATATTGTATATAAATTTGATATGTGGGGATATTTTGAATAGGCTACTGGGGTCTTATTGCAGTATGTTAAATTAATATGGATATGATGTTAAGTTTGGTGTAGTTTTTTTCTTTCCCTTTTCTATTATACTTTATATAACTTTTTTGAACTCTGGACAGAAGGAAATTTGGCTGTACTTTGGCAAATGGATTATGGGTATTTTTTTCTATTATGATATTTTTCTAAAAATAAAAAGAATACTATGATAAACCCTTGTATGCTATCACTTAGCTTTGTAGATTATCAACATTCTATTAACATGTTTTTAAAGCCATAGAATTAAACTAATGAACACAAATCTTGCTCATTATTGAAATGAAATTTTTTTTAAAAAATAGGATGAAAATGAGCTCTTGCTATCAAATGTACCAGGGAAAATACAGAGGGAAGAGAATTATTGTTATTGTTATTTGTTGTTATGGGTATATGGAGATTGGGGAAGAAGACAACATTTCAGTCTTAAATCTTTGTTTTATTCTTATTGGTGAGGAAGATGCTTTTGTGTGAATTATTGAAAAACTTGGTTTGGTTATCTACTGTTGGATAACAAGCTACCACAGTTTTAGTGACTTGGAAAAATAACCATTGTATTAACTAACAGTTCTGCAATCTGAGCCAGGCTCAGCTGGGAGGTTCTTCCACTGGGCTTGCTGCATTAGCTGGCATATTGGTTGGGGGCTTGGCTCAGTTGAGAGGCTGGGATGGCTGGGTTTTTCTATTTAGTGTCAGGACGTCTCCCCATGTGACATTTCCTTTTCCATATAACCTCTCCAAAAGTTCTCTCCAACAGAGTAACTGCAGTTCTTATGTGGTAGCTCAGTACTTCTGACACACAAAAGCAGAAGCTGCCAGGCCTTCTTAAGTCTTAGGCTTGGAACTGGCATACTTCTACCATATTCTTTGGTGAAGCTAAGTCATAGGTCCAGCCTAGTTTAAGAGGAGGGGACCACGGCCAGGTGCAGCGGCTCACACCTGTAATCCCAGCACTTTGGGAGGTCAAGGTAGGTGGATCACTTGAGGTCAGGAGTTTAAGACCAGCCTGGCCAACATGGTGAAACCAAATATACAAAAATAAGCAAATATCTACCAAAAATACAAAAATAGGCCAGGCATGGTGGTGCGCGCCTGTAGTCCCAGCTAGTCGGGAGGCTGAGGCAGGAGAATCACTTGAACCCTGGAGGCAGAGGTTGCAGTGAGCCGAGATCGTGCCACTGTGCTCCAGCCTGGGCTACAAAGCCAGACTCCTTCTCAAAAAAAAAAAAAAAAAAAAAAAAAGAGTGGAGGGAACTGCACAAGGGCAGGAATAACTGGGGGCATAACTCATTGGAGAACACTAAGATAACAGACTACTAGCACCCTCACCACATGAGTGATTATATTTAGGGTGTTGCTGAAAACAAAATGTATGTGAGGATTATAATAGTCAAGTGAGTCAAGTGGCTTCTTGTGATGATGATGAAATAATTACATTAAATTTATATTTCTAATGATATATCTGGAGTTATGCTATCATTACATTTTAGGTGTGCGGTGTTAAAAGCTTAAATTACCTGCCTTTTTCTTTCTTACTGATTTGAATACTCATCTTGCTTTAACCTTAATGAAAATGTTATATTCTGAGTTTTCCAGCTGAAACACTGGAACTTCTTTCTGGGATATGTGTATGTGTTTAGAGTGGTGAATGATGGAAATGGGATGGAGGGAAGGACAAGCATGCCTTACTGATTTTTTTAGAGAGATTTGGGTCAGTATCCAAAATGAAAACTTGCCATTACAACTTTTCCTTGAGAGGTCTTTGAGACATTAAATGTATTTTGTCTATTTTAGAGCAATAACCAGATTGAGACAATCACAGGTTTGGAGGATCTAAAAGCCCTACAGAATCTGGATCTGTCCCACAATCAGATAAGCAGCCTCCAAGGCTTAGAGAATCATGACCTCTTGGAAGTGATCAACCTGGAAGATAATAAGGTAGTGTTGTACTTCACATGTCTTGGTTTCAGTGTTGACATAAGAGGACATATTAGAGAAGCACAGACACTTCATTTTTGGTTTCTCAAGGGTGGACACATTAAATGCCAGCTTAGAAATATTGTTCTAGCAAAATTCCTAGAGTAGTTGCAGAAGGATTGTTTTTAAAAAGTACTTAAAATCTTAATTATTGAAAATGTGATGATTCCTAATTACATTATTTTTAAGGTTTAAACTGCAACCACGTGTGGGTGATTTTCTAAAGTATACGTGTTCATACAAAATTTTGTGTAGAAATGTGGCAGTAGGAATGTCTGAAATATCGGAGTAAGGAGGTTGGAGATATAAGAATAGCCATAGGCTGGTGGTGCTCCGTGTCTGCCATTTAAAGAAAAGTCTAGGGCCTTGGTAAGGGAAGTGTTGGGAAGATGTTGGTCAAAGGATACAACATTTCGGTTACATAAGGAGTTTGTCCCAGAGATCTATTGTATAACATGGCAATTATAGTTAATAAAAATATATTGTATTTTTCCATGCTTAGAGAGCAGATTTTAAACATGTTTACCACAAAAATGATTACTTTGCAAGGTAACACATATGTTAAAAAGCTAGATTTAGCCATCCCACAATGTAACATGATGATGTGATGAATTTTAAGTCATCGTGTTGTACACAATAAGTACCTATAATTTTATATGTCAATTTAAAAAAAATTAAAACGTTAAAAAATGCAAATACCTTAGAAAAGGCTTAAACCCTTAAAACTAAAGAGAAGAGGCACAGGAAGGGAGTTCTTATATACCAATCTACACAATGGGTTGGGGACTGGGTTTATTCAAATTTTCATGTCTGGCTTAATAATGCACACTTTACTTCAAAAATCACAGAAACGGGCTTTCACTCTTATATTTTATTTTTAATAAAGAATTTGTGCTCCTAATCATGGTATATTAAGTTGGTAACTTTACCTGACTTCTTATGCTATAAGGTCTACAAAGTTATTTTATTTATATTGAATACTTCATCACATTTTTGGGAGAACACTTTCATAAGGAGGTTGAATGTTTATTTCTTCATGAAAATGAAAAGTTGGGCTGAGCCTGAAAGGGACAGTTGGTGTCAGCTCAAGTGAGCTGGCGTGTAGTGGGGATCTTGCTGTGTTCTGCTGTGGTGGTGCTTGTCAGTTTTGCGTGATGAGCCTTGTTTTCCAACAAACTTCCCTCATCTGTTAGGTTGCTAAGAATCAAGAAGAGTCAGTTATTAGTCCTGGGAACAGATGAGTTTTCAATCACAGACAAAACTGTTCCTCTTCATTCTCCTTGACTTGTGTGTGTGTGTATATATACATGTGTATGTGTGTGTGTGTGTATATATATATATATATATTTTTTTTTTTTTTTTTGAGACGGAGTCTCTCCCTGTCGCCCAGGCTAGAGTGCAGTAGCGTTGTCTCGGCTCACTGCAAGCTCCGCCTCTCGGGTTCACGTCATTCTCCCACCTCAGCCTCCCGAGCAGCTTGGGACTACAGGCGCCTGCCACCACGCCTGGCTAATTTTTTTGTATTTTTAGTAGAGACGGAGTTTCACTGTGCTAGCCAGGATGGTCTCAATCTCCTGACCTCGTGATCCACACACCTCGGCCTCCCAAAGTTCTGGGATTACAGGCGTGAGTCCTTGAATTGTATGTTTAGTTGTTTTGGCAACTTCTCCAGTTAATTCTAATGGACAATCTTTGTTCACTGTACCACGTGTCTTAGGAAGTCCACACAATCTCCGTCTGGTGTGGTTTTAGTGTCCTTTTCATGCATTTGCCATCGAAGACTGAGTTTTAGAAAATGTCTTACTTAAAATGGTTCTCACATATATACAAGGGCTGTTGAAAAGGTGGAAAACACTCATTAAATCTCAACTCAATGCATCTAAGGATTTAGGAAAAGGAGTAACAGTAATGATAATAGTAACAATTCTGGTCATAAAATAATCTAGAGATATTTGTTGAGGATCTTTATGCACCAGGCACTTTCCTAAGCACTTTATCTCATTTAATCCTCATTATAACCCTATTATTCATTTTACAAATGAAGAAACAGGGGCAGAAAGAGGTTAAGTAACTTGCCCAGTCATATATCCAGCAAATAGCAGAGCCAGTCTGCAAATAGAGAGCGGTTTGCCTCCAGTTTCAATGTTCTTAACCTCTGCAGGGTGATATAGTACATAAAATGCTAATGGGCCTCCCTTCTGAAAGGGCCTGTTGTAATGCCCCAATACAGTGCTTTCTCAGCGAAACGTCACGTGAGCCACAGATGTGAGCCACAGATGTAATCTAAAATTCTCCAGTAGCCGCAGTAAAAAGGTGCAAAGAAACAGGTGAAATTAATTTTAATAATGCATTTTACTTAACCCAGTAGATCCAAAATGTTGTCATTTCAACATGTAATCTACATACAGACTTATTGATGAGACATTTAACTTTCTATTGTTTCATACTCAATTTCTGACATCCGGTGTGTATTTTACACTTAAAGTATGTCTCAATTCATCCTGGCCATATTTTAAGTGCTGGGCAGCTGCATGTGACTAGTAATTATCATATGGGACAGCGCAGATCTAGAAACACCTCACAAATAGCATGTCGTTCTCTTCCATTTCAAGAGACTTTTCAAATTGTATTTGACGAACTTTAAAGAAAAAAGAGGAGTATCATCATGTGAAGAAAGGAGTTTATAATTTTCAAATGTTAAAGAGGATCCGTTAAAAAAAAATGGCCACGTGTCCCAAAGAGGGATCCTTTGGCACCCATGAGGTCTGTAACAATCACCTTATTCCCCGGCTCCCCCCTGGGCAGGTTGAGGAGCAACCAGCAGTACTTTGAAATATTCTTTGAGGCTTCAGGAGAGTTCCTCAGAGAACTCTCCAGGACTACTGAGAATACTGTGTATCAGGGATGGAAAATTTATCATTAGGCAGAAACATAACCTAACTTCTGCTTCTCATATGATTAATCTGACATTAAGAATATTGTTTTATCGGTAGCACTGCATCACTATTATGTACTTGGTTTTAGCAGTTGAGACATTGTAGCACCCACATGTGATCATTTGAACATCTTTTTAAGGCCACTTCAGAATGTTTACCATCAGCTGGGGGTTTGGGGACCTTAGTTACCCTCTACTATGTAGTCTTGTTAGATTTTACATCATTTCCAGCATTTAAAACATATCCCAAGCTGTTAGCTCTATTATAACCTCAATCCTTTCTTCTAGAAGCAAGATATCAGTTTAGGAGTGACTTAGAAAAACACTGTCTTACTTCTCTAAGTCTCAGTGTCATTATTTCACACTGTCGGTTCCCAATTACTTTTCTGAATTTTTGTGAGGATTTGCAAGGTAATACTCATAAAGCAATGGAAGCATGGAGAGAACTTGAATCCTAAGTAATAAAAGTGCTCCTCCCAGAGCTTCCTGTCTCTTCATTCTTTGCAGTGCTCTGGCTTTCCTTCTAAATCATTCTCCTTGAATGCTGATGGGGACAATGGCAGCTGAAGACCATTATTCCACTCTATTTTTGTGATGCTTTGTATAGGCAGAACATTCTTTGCCGAGGACTCCTTGCTTCTTGTTGTTCAAAGACAGATGCCATTTGATGTCCCTGGCAAGCAATGTGCATTACCCCCTTCTTCACTGAACCTTGGCTCACACTTCTCTTCACATATATGAGCAAAAGGAACTTTGGGGACATTAAACCCAATCAGACTTCTAAGTGAACTTTATTTCTCTCTGGATTTAAGTTTGTTAGGTTAGGCCTATAATGAGAAGGGTTGGACTGGGTGAGTCCTTGGGGCCTGCAGGGGCTGAAAACATTGATGCAGAGGCATACCATTGATGCCAGTGTGATCAGATCTCCTGCTAAAGTCAATCTCCATTCCACCTGGCCAACATACCCCTGCCCTGGGATGCAAGCAGGAGGGAGGCTCCTTTGGAAGTCTTTGGCCTCCTTACACCCAAAGGTGATGCCCAAGGCAGGATACCCTGATCTGCTCAGCAACTGCTCTCTGGATAGTCTTGGCTCTCTGCAGAGAGTGCTAATGGGTGCACACTTTGAGTCCAGGTTTTGATGCTGCTTCATCACTTTTAGAAACAATTTTTGAACTCTCAGATCAAGGTGAATGTGACTTTCCCCTTTGCCCCGACCCCTTTCTTAACGCTTATATCCCGGTGATGGACTTGGCCTGCTTCCTAGTGCCTTGGCTCCATGATGATGGGTCAGCAGGGAGAGTTGCCCTTTGCCTGCTTTAGCACTGGCTTACTGAGTAGAGTGCCGGCCATTGACCAGGAGAGCACATGTTCCTCGCCATCTGACTTGGTTAGGCCGGCTACGCAGGACTGGCTGTCAGTGGCCAGTTTATGTGACTGGGGATGGAGACCAGCACTCTCAGGGGCAGCTGGCGGGGTGAGTGCTCCCTTGCAGAAGGAGTGGGAATGTTAAGTCAGCCATTTTCTTCTGATCCTCATGCAGATCCAGCGTCTTTCCACCTCTGGAGCTTCATAACATCTGATGTCTCTGCTGGAAACTTTTCCCCTCATCTTCAAAAAAATTCACTTCATTTCATTTAAGCCTCTGGCAAACTCTCACAAAAAATGGCCTCTGACCCCCCTCTGGCCTCTCCAGCACCCCCTCCCTGTTTTCTTTATCCCTTTACACTTCTTAATTTATCATTAGTACTTACTAGTACCTGAGATTGTGTCATATTGCATATTCTAGTTTCACATCTGTTAGAGTTCACTGGCTTTCCAACTAGAATGTTAGCTTCAAGAGCTCAGGGACTTTATCTTGCTCACTTTGAGCAATGCCTGGCTCAGAGATGGCACTGAAGAATATTTGTTGTCTTGGCTCCAGGCATGGTGACTCACATCTGTAATCCTGGAGCTTTGGGAGGCCAAGGTAGGCTGATCACTTGAGTCCAGGAGTTTGAGACCAGCCTGGGCAACACAGCAAGACTCC